CACACACACACACACACACACACACACACACACACACACACACACACTCCCAAAGAGACATTAGGCAAATAAGCAGGTGCAGACAAGATAGATGGTGATCTGAAAGGGGAAGGCTCTAGCAGCTGAAGTGAGGAACTTGGGAGGGGAGATAGGGAAAGGGCTGCTCCAGGAGGTGGTGCTTAACCTTCAGTCTTGGAAGAGGCCAGGGAAGCCAGCAGGCCCAAGTGAGGAGGGATGTTATCCCAAGCCTGGCCAGGGCAAAGACATTCACTGGAGTTCTGTTCCCCACAGGAAGGAGTGCACCCCCGTGCACAAAGAGAGGAAAATGGGCAGCCCCTACGTACAGTACAGATGCCAGATTCACGTCCAGGACCCCAGCAACCAAAGCCAGTACACGGTCATGGTGCAAAGCAAGGAGGGGAAACCTTTACCGAGTTACAAGCACAGTGAGTGGCCCAGGGTCTCAGACATTGATCATACTCACAGTTAAGCCACAAAACAGGTATTAAACCGGACAATCCGTCAAACCCAGCCCCCCACCCGTGGCCTGCCCTTCGGGACCTCTCAGCCTTGTTTTAGGGAAGCAAGATTAACACACGCATGGCTTAATTAGCACCAGACAGAAGAAAAAATAATAATAAATAGTCGATATTCCAATAGCATTTTAAGGTGTGCGGAGCACCCGCTATGTGTATTGTCCCACTGGATCCTCACTCACCACAACCCTGGGGAGTAGGTCCTATTATTATCCTCATTTTATGGATAAGGAGAAGAGGCAAACAGAGGTTACGGTCAGCGGTGTTTTCAACCCAGGGCTCTTGACTTTCCCCACTACATTCTCTACTGTGTCCCCCAGTTTCTTATGAGACGGAGCTTCAGGCCTATAAGACCTTAGAGGGGAGAGAGGCACTATAGTAGGCTGAGAGTGGTCTGGGTGGTCTTCCTGGAGGAGGTAGGACAGATAAGTGGAGGGGAGAGAGAAAGGGGCATTGCAGAGAAGAGGAACCAAAGGCCTGGGGAAGGTTCCTTCTGCCTGGAGGATGGGGTGCAGCCTCCCAGTCTGGACCTCCATTACTCTTACACCGTGCATCACTCAACCTCAAGGCATGGAAATGGCATTGCATAAATGAAGGAGCTGGCTTTAAATCCTTGTTCTATTAATTATTACCTCTATCCACACAGGGAATCATACCCTTACCCATGCCATTACCCTTACTTGCTCTGCCCAAAGGAATATAAATTTTGATTGCTGAAATTTAGCAAGATATCTTAGGGTTTAAGGCTAGGTTTCTTTTTTAAGAACCATGCCTTAAGTCCACATCACTCTGGCTCTCATTAATTGGCCAACAGTAGGTCCCAGCCCAAGCTTCGTGAGGTCATTGTTGGGACTTTGAGGGCACAGAGCGAGTATAAATAGCAATTGTTTCTGTTTTGTCCAGAAACCCTAAGGATCTTCCCCTCCCAGATTGGTTTTTTTTTTTTTACTAGGTAAAAGAGTCCATTCCTTGCCTCATTTCTTAGCTAGCCTTAATCATTGAATGGGTATTGCCTCGGATAAACTGAGACCTGTTAAAGACCTTAGCTTAAAAAAGCCAAGGTCTCCCACTGCATCCAGAGCCATCTCCAGTCATCCTGGTCTGGATCCAGATGGCTCTGAAGGAGAAAGTGAGGCTGGTGACTTTACACAACCCTCCTTCACCTCAATCCAATTCACTTGCATGTCATTTCATCACTTTCCTGATGTCATGGTCCTCTTAGAGAACGAAGGGCAAGCAATTACCTTTGTTACCTGGGCAAATCACTTGTCCTGTTTTGGCCTGATTTTCTGCAATCAATCGAATGAAGGGGTAGGACTAGATGGTTTGTTTGGAAAGTCCCTTCCAGCTCTGACATTCTTCTAACCTCCTATGATTTATTAGCGTCTCTGGCTTATTATTATTTTTTTCTTCTGTCTGGTGCTAATTAAGCCCTGCATGTATTAATCTTGTTTCCTTAAAAATTCTAAAATTTCAAGAGCTGTGTTCTCTGCTTGTGGTCTGAGGTCCTTCTGGTCTTCAATGGGAAGAGGATGAATCCAATTCCAAAGTCTCTGTTTCCCCTCTCAATGTCTGGTTGAGTCACTTACCATTCAGTATTAGGGTCAGCAGCAATGTTGCCCCTTCATGGTAGAGAGATGGGTTATGCTCTAGTTCTAGACTTTGTGGAAGCAGGAATGCCCCTGAAGCTCTCTGAGTTTCAGTTTCCTCACATTTAGAATGGAGCAGCCCCAAAGCTCTTACTTTCTTCATTGACCAAGAGATGAATGATTGGCACTAGCCAGTCTGGGGGTGATTTACAGAGCCTCCCTTTGGGGATGCCCTGGTAATTTACTCAATACAGCCTGGTTGTTTCTTTATATCCCAGTTAAGCCACCGACACCATCTATTAAGGTCAAGAAGGCTGGAAACAACTATTGGTTCCAGTGGGAAAAACCCCAGGTCGGTTTTGACAGTGAGCAGACCTATGAAGTTCAATACAGGAAATCGACGCAGACTTGGGAGGTAAGCAGCTCTCCCTGTGAGGGATGGGACCTACAGAAGGGTAGAGATGGGGCTAGACATGTGCGTTCAGTTGTTTCACTGGTGTCCAGCTCTTCCTGACCCCAGTGGGGTTTTCTCAGCAAAGATACTGGAATGGTTTGTCATTTCCTTCTCCAGCTCATTTTTACAGATGAGGAAACTGAGGCACACAGGGTGAAATGACTTGCCCAGGGTCACACAGCTAGTAAGTATCAGAGGCTGGATTTGAATTCAAGGAGGTATCTTGGCTAGATGTAGGGAGAGACCAATTCCCTGTGCACTGGAGGAAGAATTATGTGAGACTGATTTGAATGTGATGAGAGCTGGGAGGGGAGGAGGAAGAGCTCAGACTTTAGAGGCAGAAGACTTGAGTTTGAATCTGGCCTCTGCTACTCACTAACTCTGACCCTGAGCCCATCACTCCCTTTCTCTGGGCCTCAGTTTTCCCCATCAATAAAAAATAAAGGAGATTGGACTGGATGATTTCTTACATCCTGGCTGACTAGAAATTCCATCACACCATGTCTGATATCCTGTGCTCTAACCTCCCTCCTAGATCTCTTCTCAGCCCTTCTTCTCTCTCTTGGTCTCTCTCTGCCTTGTTCTTTAGGAAGCCCACCGTGAAACCTTGAGAATCATTGTGGACATGAACATCTCCGAGACTTCTCTGGAGCCGGCCACGGAATACTTTGCCAGAGTGAGGGCAATGGTCACAGATAAATCCTACAGTGGGACATGGAGTGAGTGGAGTAATGAGTGCTCCTGGAGAACAGAGAAAGGTAGGTGGGGCTAAGTCTGGTCTCCATGCCCACTAGGGGCCAGGTGAGGCTCCAAGGGCTCCCATCACCAGGCTGTGATTGAGCGGTCCAAGATTCGAAAGGGCCAATCTGACCTGGGCTACTCATATACAAGGAAGACAAACACCCACCACTGCCCCCAGGGCTTGATCCTGTGGCTGTGCCTTGGGGGTATATGGTCATAATAACCGATGCTCTTCGTATTTTGATAGCAAATCATGTTCTACAGAGCCCTTCCCTTTGAGCTACCTTGTGCAGGGACTATTTCCATCATTTTACAGATGAAGAAACTGAGGTTCAGAAAGAAAAATTGACTTGCCCAGAGCCCCACATCTGGCAAGTAGATAGGCAACTCTTATCTCTTCTTGTTCCATTTTTAAAATAAGCAACTTTTAAGACAAAAACAAAACAAAACAAAAAAAAACTCTCTGAATTAAGGATGCAGTGTAGTACAATTAGAAAGATCCTGGTCAGTAGTCCTGGATTCAAGTTCCTAGCCCTGCTATTCCCCGTTAGAATGCAAGCTTTCTGAGGGCAGGAACCTTGTTTTGTCTTTCTTTGCTCGGCACATCACAAATATTTAATAAATGCATGATGACCAGCTAGTTGGTCACGCTGGGTGTCAATCTTTTTCCTGAGGCCTCAGTTTCTCCATCATTAAAATAAGGGGATTAGCCTCAATAGTTTGCCGAGTCTTTGACTTTCTTTGGTTCCGGGATCTCAGCTAAGTCCCTCCATGAATGTTGTTGAATTGACTTGCCCTGCCTGAGACTGACCTTCCTTCTTGTCCTTCTTTCCCCCCTCCCTAAAGTCTTCCCTCCAGAGATCCTGGGACTGGTACTGGTCATCTCTACAATCCTGGTACTCCTGGGGACCTGGTGCTGTTATACCTTTGGAGCCAGGTAAGGCAGTTTTCTCAGCAGTGGTGGTGGTGGGGACCAGTCAAGCATTCCCCATCCCTTTGGAGAGGTCACAGTGGGAGGCAGGGTGAGTGGAAATAATACTAACTTTACCTATTAGACCTCAGGCAAGTCTCAGTTTCTTCATTTGTATAATGAGGGGGGTGGATTAGATGGCATCTCAGGTGTCTTCTAGCTGCAGATCTAGGACCCTCTGGTACCTCAGTATCTAAACACTGATGTTTGTCTGCTGTAGTCAACAGTCAAGCTCAGCTCAGACCCTTCAGCCCCATTGAAGGCAATCTACCCTGTGTCGGTGAGAATGAGATCACTTAGGAACATGCTGACTTAGGTCTGTGGTCAGAGACTAGTAGCCATCACAGAATGTCAGATCTGGGAGGAGTAATAGAAATTAGCTAGTCCTCCCCAGTCTCCCCTCCCCACTCCAAAATTGGAATATGGAAGTCTAGAAAAGGGGATTGACTTGTCTGAGGTCATACAGACAGAAATGGGGAATCAACGGAATGAACCGTGGTTTCCTGGCTGAAATGAATCTGCCCAGAGCTTCTTTCATGCATCATGCTTTCTATCACTTTGTGAGCTATGTGAGAAATGCAATCAACATCATCCCCCCTCCCCAGTGAACTCATTGTGGGACCTGGACCAAGTCACTTCCCAACTCTGGGTCTCAGTTTCCATTTTCTAAGGTCCTTCTCAATTCAGACATTTAATGTTCTAAGGTCCCTCCCAACTCTGACCATCCATTTTCTAAGATCCTTCTCAATTCAGACATTTAATGTTCTAAGGTCCCTCCCAGCTCTAACCATCCATTTTCTAAGGTCCTTCTCAACTGAGACAGTTAATGTTCTGAGGTCCCTCCCAGGTCTGACAATCCATATTCTAAGGTTCCTTCTGCCTCTGATATTCAATGTTCTTCTATGTTCTAAAGACCCTCCTGGATCTGACACTCACTGCTCTGTGTTTTAAGGGTCTGGCTAGTCCTTATGTTCCCTATTCTGAGGCCCTTAGAAGCTCAGAGAGCTTCTATGAGTTGCTTTGACCCAACATATCTCATCTAGGATATTCTGCATACCTTTTGACCTCCATTGCCTTTGGGAAGTTTGGGAACCATTCTCTCTTTCTCAGGGAATGGAAATAAAACTCATTACTGCAGGGCTGGGTCCTGCTTTGTGGATTTCAGCATTTCCAAGACTAAGCTCTAACTATACCTCCTGAGTGGGGAGGGGGGTTAGGCCTGAAGAAGCAAACAGTCCCCTTTCCCACCAACTGGGAGCATCTGGGACAGATAAGGAGACAGCTTACCCTCAAATGTGTGCAATTTCTTTACAGACTGAGGACAAATTGGGAAAACAAGATTCCCAACCCGGGTAAGAGCCACCTATTCCAGGTAAGAGACCAAGCACTGCCCTGGGAGTGAAGAGAGGCACAAGGCCAGATAGCTCCCCTAGACCCACTTACCTTGCCTACTCCTTAGAAGACCTGACTAGGTTGAGGTCCAAGGTTCCATCCTTATTCTTGGTGTAGTCAACAGAGGCCTGGTCTTTGAATCAGGAAAGCCTGGGTTCAAATCTTCCCTTAGACACTTACCTGTTATGTACTCCCAGGTAATTTCTCTAAGTCTCAGTTTCCTCATCTGTAAAATGGAGATAACAATAGGACTTCCTCACAATATTGTTATAAGGTTTTTTTTTATGAGATAACAGATAGAGAGTGCTTTGTAAACCTTATTGTTGTTGTTCAGTCATTTCTGACTCTTCATGACCCCACTTGAGGTTTTCTTGTCAAAGATACTGGAGTGATTTGCCATTCCCTTCTCCAACTCATTTTACAGATGTGGAAGGTGAGGCAAACAGAGTTAAGTGACTTGCCCAGGGCCGCACAGCTAGGAAGTGTCTGAGGCTGGATTTGAACTCATGAAGATGAGTCTTCCTGACTCCAGGCCAGGTGCTCTATCCACTGAGTCACCTAGCTGCCCTTCTGTAAATCTTAAAATCTTCTAAAAATGCCATTATAATGAAGTGCTTACTTTGTGTATTGCTCTATATCAGGTAGGAGGGATAGATTAATATGAAATCTAGAGAAAATCAGGCCCTCTCTATCCATCATGGAGAGCAGCTTAGTGAGGAGATAAGATACAAACTCAGACAATTAATGAGAACAAAACAGCATTTTATGAAATGTATTACATGTAAAATGAAGGGGTTGGGCTAGCCAGCCTCTGGGGCGCCTTCCATCTCTAGTCCTTGGTCCCTATGACCTGGTCTGAATCTTAGTTCTACTTATGAACCCTATGACCTTATGGGTAAAGCACATGACCTTGTTGGACCTTGACTCTAACCTCAGAAGCCTTCAGGGGATCCTCTTATATTGTCTTGCCCAGAGAGGAAAGAGCTGCTGGCCCTGGGAGGATTTCAGAATGTTTTCTTTCCTTCCACAGGATAAGAACCAGAGGATTTGGAATCCAGGTAACTTTTTTACTGTCAGTCAAGAGAGCCCTTGGGAGAAGGAGGAAAGAGAATACTCTGTTTCCAGGATGGATTGGTGAGTTTGCTTCACACCTGAGTGACTTTTAGGGAATAAAAAGGGATGGATAGGGATAATATTTACTCTCCAGTGAGCGTGTAAAATCTGGAACATGGGGGATGGATGCAGGAGAGGTTAGGACCAAGGTGGGGTGAGGGTGGGGAAGGAGATAATCATGGCACATGCAAAGGATAGAAAAGAACAAGAATGATAGAAGATGACTCTGGGGTTCTTAGTGGACTACACACTTAGGTGACACAATCCCTGCCTGTTGTAAAATGTAAATCTAAGCAGAGCTATAAAATGGTGAAAAAACTCTGGATTTGCAGTCAGAGGACTGGAATCAAATCCCAGCTGTGCTACCTATTGCCTACATGGCTTTGAGCAAATTACTTCTCTGGGCCTGTTTCTTCCTATATAAAATGACATAATTAGACTCCATGATCTCTAAAATCATTTTGGCTCTTATGTCCCTACTGTGCCTAGTTTGGGCCACTATTCTTCAAAAGAAACATGGGAAAAGTGTGATTGGTTTACAGAACAAAGATAAAGAGGACACCCCCGATGGGGGCTCATCTGTTTCTCTGCGACACCTCTAGCCTTGTTAGTTTTTTTTAAACATCACTCACATCATGGTATGTAGAGTGGCTGAGTGTGAAGAGTATTGAACTTGACTTTAGAGGACCTGGGTTCGAATCTTGGCCCTACTACCTTCTCACAATCTGACCTTAGCCAAGTCACTGCCCTCTCTGTGCCCCAGTGTCCTCGAATTCAAAATGATGAGGTTGGATTAGATAACATCTAAGGACCCTTCCAACTCCAGATCTAAGCTCCTATGATCCTCTAATTCTCCAAAATGCTAGTGCTTTCCCTCTGAAATTATCTGCAATTTCTCCTGTCTATAGCTTGTGTACATAATCAATCAATTAATCAATAAACATTTATTAAGTGCCTACTATGGGCCAGGTACTGTGCTAGGCATTGAGGATACAAAAAGATATTCCCTGCCCTCAAGGAGCTCACATTCTAATGGAAGAGCTCACAATACAATGTTGGGGTGTGTCTCTTCCATTAGATTGTAAATTCCTTGAGAGCTGGGGATTGTTTTTGACTTTCTTTGTGTCCCCAGTGCTCAGCAAAGTACCCAGCACATAGTAGGTGCTTAATCAATGCTTGTTGACTTGACTATGATGCGGTCTGCTCATTCAGACTATGAGCAGGGAGCACCTAGTTAGGAAAGGTCAGGTAACAGAAAGTGCTTGATAAGGCTTCAAAGAGTTATGGAACCCAAAGTGTTGAGTCATAGAGTTGGAAAGGGTCTTCTAGTCCAATTATCCCACTGTACAGAGGGAGAAGCTGAGGATCCCAGAGCTAGAGAGACTTGCCCACAATGAGTTAGTGACTGAGCAAGAACCAAAATCTAGGTATCCAGACTCCCTGATTATGACTGTAGCTGGGTTGGTTTACCTTGGGTAGAAGGGGTGAGATCATTACCTCTTCAAAGGTTCCAATGAAGGATTCACTAACAAGCCATTTCCTTTGCCTGTAGAAGACATGAGTAGAACTCTCCATGCTAAAGGATGAGGAATTTTCTTGCCTTATTGACAACCTCATGCATTCTCACAAACATTTCTTAAATGCTGCTGTAGGCAAAGGGGAGGCAGGTTGGTACAGTAGAAGTTCTGGCCTTGGAGTCAGAGGACCTGAGTTGTATCCTGCCTCTTTCATAAGTCACATCTCATCTCTGAGATCCATACTTCTCCTTAGTAAGTTGAGGGGGTTGAAGTAGATGGCCTCTGAGGTCCCCTTTAGCTCTAGGGCAGTCACTTGATCTCTATAGACCTCAGTTTCCTCATCTATAAAATGAGAGGGGTATCTACTCTAGTCATGAAGCACAGCCTGTGCAAATGCATGGAGGCAAGAGATTAGAGAAAGGAGTGTGAGGCATGGCTAGTTCACATAGAGTGTTCCAAGGGCAATAAAATGAAATAAGGCTGTGAAGGGCAGTTGGAAGGAGCTTGGGCAGGAACTGCAACGCCAGCCTGAAGAATGTGGCACTTTTTATCAGAATGACACCAGGGAGCCATTGAATGTTTTTGAGTAGGAGAGGACATGGTCAGAAAAATAGATCTTCCTACTGTTACTTTGACAGCTGTTCGAAGGAGGGATTGGTGAGCAAGCGTAGCGATTGATGGTAAAAGCAGCTGCAGGGTTGAAAATAGAAACTAGCTCTTCCTGATTCCCCGAGTCACAAGACCAGAGAGGAGGGCTGGCTATGATCCCCACAGACCACCCCTCCCATCTCCACTGCCCCACAGCCCTCTCCAGCCACCTCCTCACGTCATTGTTGGCCTCCCACAACAAACAGTTTGTCTGCCTCTGCACCTGGTGCCCGACAGCTATCTCTGGCATGCCAATAGGAGCAAACTGCCAAGAGGCCCGTGTCAGCTTAGTGGAGGAGGAGCCTTCCCAGAATCAGAGCTGCCAGATCAGAGGAGAGGCTGCCTCAGGGGCACTGACTTCCCTATAACGGGGATCTTCAAGCAGAGGCTTGCTGGTCAGGGACTGGTTGGCTGAGTCAGAGGACCTGGCTTCACAGACTGCTTCTGTCACTTACTGGGTGATCTTGGCCTCTCTGGGTCTCAGCTTCCTCATCTATAAAGTGAAGGCAGTGGACTAGAGAGGCAGCTAGGTGGTGCAGAGGATAGAGTACAAGGAATCACAAAGTCCTGGGTTCAAATCTAGTCTCAGATACTTACTAGCTTTGTGACCACAGGTAAATCATTTAGTCTCTGCCTGTCTCAGTTTCCTCAACTGTAAAATGGGAATAATAATAGCACCTATTTTCCAGAGTTGTTCTGAGGATCAAATGAGATAAATTTGTGAAGTGCTCAACACACTGCTTGGCACATAGTTAATTTTTTTACTCACCTCCCTACTTTCTTTCTTTCTTTCTTTCTTTCTTTCTTTCTTTCTTTCTTTCTTTCTTTCTTACTTTCTTCCTTCCTTCCTTCCTTTCTTCTTTCTCTTTTTCTTCCTTCCTTTCTTTCTTTTTTCTTTCTTTCTTCCTTCTTTCCTTCCTTCCTTCCTTCCTTTCTTTCTTTTTTCTTTCTTTCTTCCTTCCTTCTTTCCTCCCTCCCTCCATTTCTTTCTTTCTTTCTTTTTTCTTTCTTTCTTCCTTCCTTCCTTCCATTCTTTCTTTGTTTCTTTCTTTCCTTTTTTCTTTCTTCCTTCCTTCTTTCCTTCCTTCCTTCCTTCCTTCCTCTGAAGTCCCTTCTGTCTCTAAATCTGTCATTCTATGATTCCATCCACTTCCAAAATGAATTGTTTCTCTATCAGGGACTGGTTACTTTAAGCCATTCATATGCTCACGAGGCTTCACTTGCCAGATGTCCAGGAGAAGCTAACAAGTAATCATTAGTAAGTGCGTAAATGACTCCTGTTCACTCACACTCAGAGGATCATAGATTTCAGAAGCATCCTGAGAGTCCTCATTTTACAAATGAGGAAACTGAGGCTCAGTGAGGCGAGTACTTTGGGCAAGGAATGAAAATGATCACTTGGGTAGGAAAGGACCTGTCAGGGAGAGAGTATGTGTCATGGGTAGAGAAGGTATTTCAAAGCAAAAGGCTTTTTTGGGGTGGCAAAGGGATTGACTTTGAAGATGCTAGGAGCTCAGGGTAGGGGTGGGGTGGGGAAGGGCTGTTGTCTAGGGAGGAAAATAAATAAAAGAATTCTATTTCTGATGCTTTTTAAAGTTTACAAAATGTCCTTGAAACAATCCTCTGAGGTTGGGAACAATTACTGTTGACCCCATTTTACAGATGAGGAAACTGAGACCCAGCACAGGTAGTGTCTGAGTCTGGACTTCAGCGCAGATCATCTAACTTTAAGTGTAGTATAATTTCCATCCTTGCTTCACTGAAAGGCAAACTCTGGCCTTTCAGGGGAAGGAGACAAGGCGAGCAGAAGAACTGGAAAGGTTCATAGAGATATGAGCCCAACCCTCTCATTTTACTGATAAGGAAATAGGGTGGGAGAAGTTAGGCCATCTGCCCAAGGCCCCACAATCAAAACCAAGAAGAGCCAGAGTCCACTGCCTCCCCATTGAATGCTCTTTCCCCTGCGCTGTGGTTGAACACTCAGGGTGTGAGACAGAACTGTCCAAGCTTGAACAGGAAGGTGCTGTCTCTGGTCTGCAGACCCACAAAGCTGGCAGAGTTCAGAGTAGGGTGGGCTTAAGTGGGGGCTGGAGTCATCGGGCAAGACTTGGTGAAGGAGTTGGAAAGAAGCTCAGAGTTGGCAGAGGAAAAGTGTGTGGGGAACATGAAGGGAGTGAGGGATGAGCATTGTGGTGGGGCAAGAGAAGCTGTTCGGGGAATAACCAACAATTCTTTCTCCCCCATGGCCTTTACCTTTCGAGGTTTTTCCTCTGGTCCTTCAAATCTTCAGTTCTTTTTCTGAATCCAGAGCTGAGCCCTTCAGAAATCGCCCCTTCAGGAATCACCTCTGGCACTATTTCCTCATTCACAAAATGGGCATAATGACCTCACTTCGTACCTTAGAGGGTTGTTTTGGGGAGCAGAACTTTGTAAACCTTAAAGCTCTTAGAGACATGTGGCTTCTTTTCATAGTCAGCATCCCATAGTGGTGATGCCAGAATCTCACCTCCGTATTCTTCCCTCAGGCTTGATTTTGAAAACAGAAGCTCTGTATCCCCTCTCACTGCTGTGGACCCCCAGGATGTGTGTTCTCTGTCCTCTGACCCTGACCCATACCCAGCATCCATCACTCTGCCTGATGAGGACCTGAGCCTGTCTTGCTCCCAGAAAATGCCTCAGCCCAACACTCCAGTGAAGGACCTAGACTCGGGCTTCGCTTTCAATGGCCCCTACCTCGGCCTGCCCCAAAGCCACTCCCTGCCTAATATCTCTGGCCAGGTGGGATCCTGCCAGGCTGAAGGGAACAAGAAGCAGGCCCGTGGGTCCCTGGAGTATTTTTGTCTGCCCCAGGGTGGGCAGGTTGGCCTTGTTCCTATGGCCAAGTTGGTTGAACTGGGCAGAGATAGAGTGGAAAAAGAAACTTCATCTGATCATCCTTCACCCAGAGAAGAAGCTGAACCCTGTACACTCAGGGAGCAAGCTGCCCCCCCATCTGGGGAACCAAGGGAGGAGAAAAACCTCAGTCAAGTAGCTGCCAGCTCCACAGGCCCCCTGAAATTGGCCGGGGTCTCAGGCTACATTGCCCCTGAGAACCTGGTGCTTGGCTCTGAGAAGGCTGAAAGTCTCCCGCCTCTCACCATGCCTCCCTTGCCTTGCCCAGCCCCTGAGTCCAGTCTTGGCCTCTCCCTGGGAGAGACCAAAGGGCCTCTTTCAGCTCCCAGCCCTGCAATGCTGACATTGGAGGGATATGTTGAGGTCCCTCCAAACATGGTCAGTGCTGAGGCCCCTCCAGAGAACCCCAGCCCCTTGCAAGTTGGGCCCTCAGCCCCAAATCCCATGGATGCCCAGCAGGATGAGACCATAACAGTGTTCCATCCTGAAGGACTCATTGTCCTGCAGCAGATAGGAGACTATTGCTTCTTCCCTTTCCAGGGCCAGCTGGTCTCTCCTGGTCATTGCCCTGAGAAAATGGCTAAGCCCCAAGATATTCAGGGCAAGGAGCCCCCAGGCCAGCCACTGCCTCAGGTGCCAGCCATCCAGCTCTTCAAGGCCATGAAGCATCAGGAATACCTTGTTCTGCCAACATGGGATGGCTGCAGGCCAGGGCAGGTGTGCTAACAAAGCCCCCTCAAACGGGGGTCCACCAGTCTCCAGAGGGCAGGTCCCTTCACACTGCGTCCCCACCTCACTAGGCTTTTTGCTTTCTATCCCCAACAGAATGGAAGCCCTTTGAAGGCAGGGATTTTCCTGTTTTTACCCAAGACTTGAGTCTGAGTGCAAACTCTGGCAGTTTGTGACCTCAGGGGGTTATTTCCCTCTCTGAGCCTCAGTTTCTTCTTGGTCTCAGAGGACAGACAATGAAACGTGCTTCCCTCCTCTTCAACTGCAGAATATGACATGGACTTACACATGAAGAATGGATTTTCTGGAAGAAGGATTGCCAAAGTCTCATTTTTTTTTTCTGTTCTGATGTATGAACCATCAGAGGACCTTCCCACCCACTGATAAAACTATGGATTCAGTTCTCAAAATTGAGGCTTTATGCTGAAATAAGGAAAAGAGATATTCTTTTCACAGGTGTTGAAGTGGGAAGAGCAATGTATTTGGAGTCAGAAGATCTGGGTTCAGATCCTGACTCTGACTCTGCCACTTAATACATGTATGATCTTGGACAAATAAAGTAATTTGGAGCTGCAATTTCTTCATCTATGAAATGTAGGTGCTGTACTACAATGACTTCTAATGTCCCTTCCAGCTCTAAATGAAGGATTCTCTCTCTCTCTCTCTCTCTCTCCCTCTCTCTCTCTCTCTCTCTCTCTCTCCCTCTCTCTCTCTTTGTCTCTCTCTCTCCCTCTCTCTCTCCTCCCTATCCTCCTCTTTATCTCTCTCTCTGTCACTATATATCTTATCTCTTTATCACTATCTCACTATCTACCTACTTTATCTATCTCTCTAGCTACCGCTCTGTCTCTATCTTGCTATCTCTCTATCTCTATTTATCTATCATCTGTCTTCCTATCTACCTATCTATCTATCTATCTATCTATCTATCTATCTATCTATCTATCCATCTGCTGTTAGCTGTATCACTGAGTTGCTCAATTGCAGCTAACTGTATTTTTTTGCTACAAGGATGTGTTCTATGGTATGTAGGTGGGAGAGGGGGAGGTATCAGGAAATAACTTTGGTGTTAAAAAAAAAACAAAAATCATGTGAAACTTTATAAAATTAGTGGGTGAAACTAGGTGACCTCTAAGGTCCCTTTCAATTCTAATGTTCTATGAAATTCCCTAAGTGCCTGGTGGTTCCCTAGAGGCCAGACTGGGGGACAGAGAAATGATGGGTTACAATTATCCTGGCTAGTGTCTCTTGAAAATGATCTGTTGGGGAAGTCCAGGGTCCCAGAGGATAAACCATCAGCTCCATTCAACAAGAACAGGTCACAAGTATAGTTTCCCTCCCCAAATGCTCCTCTTCTCTCATCACTCCACTGCTGAGGAGCACACACTGGCTCCCTTTGCCTACTGGATCCAATCCAAACTCCTGAGCGATGATCCCTAGATCTCCCACTGACAAGCTCTCCCTCCGTCCCACCCTATTATAGCTACCTCCATCACCCTGGTTGGTCTAGTTTGAAGTAAGTGACCTCTGAGAGAGGTCACATCCAATCTGGAGATTCTCAGATTTTTTTCAGGTTAGGCAAATCTGTTTACTTCGCCTCTCCCTCTTGGACCTGGAGAGAGGCTATTCACTGCACCCAGAGTATGCTCCCTGCCCTCCACTGCTCCAATCCAAATCTGCTCCCAACTTGCCTGTTCCACAAAGCCTTCCAACAATCTTTCCACTACTCTCTGCTGTCCCAAGATTTCTCATTGTATGTTCTCACATGTGTTTGTTTTTTTTTTTTAATTGGTTTGCGGTCTTAATACGTCAACGTATATTTTTCCGTCTTTTCATGTGTGTATGCTGTCTCTCCGCTTAGAATGTCAACTCCTTAATAATAATAACTAGTATTAATAGAGTGCTTAAACATTTCCAAAGCTCTTTACATGTTATTTCATTTCATCTGATTATTCCCTGGGGATTGGGATCACATTTTCTCCTTGTTGTATATGTCTTGGTTATCTGCTTTTGGTCCCATATGCTCAGGGCTTTGGAAAAGGTGATGGACTGATTGCTATGAGCAGATCTAAATGATGCCCATGCAGAAATGGAATGATCCTTTCCCAAGTCTCTGTCTCTTTCAGGGATTTGAAAGATTGTCAACTCTTAGCTGGAGTTTTGAGGCTAGAAAAGAAAGAGCCAGGGCTGGTTGTTTGCATTATCATTCCAAAAGGATGGAAGCTCTTTGAGGGCAGGAATCTTTACATCCTCAGCACCTTGCATAGGGCCCAGCACGCAGTTAATGCTTCATAAATGCTTGTTGCATGAATGAATGAGCAGCTGTCGCCACCATTAACTATCCCATTCAAATGCCAGCCTATGAACCTGGCATGTGGGGTGGTAAAGAGGCACAGCTTGAACTCATGGTTTGCTTAGCGCCTTATTGATGTTGTCTCACTGGATAATTATTTCAGTTGACATTCTCTCTGAGGGAAGGGGTCATATTTTCTTCTGATTGGGTATGTCACCAGCTTGACCAATGAGATCCCAACAATGGCCAAGATGGTGTCCAAAGAAGAGATATCTTTGGTCAAGGCCAGCTGACCCTAGAAGCTGCATTGACTTCCGGGGCTCAGAATGATCATAGGAGATTTCTGTGCTCTATAAAATCATCAATTCCAGACTTGTTATTTTCTTTTCTTTTAACTCACTGATGATAAAAATCTGTTAGAACCCCACCCTCTTACCTGGAGGTGAGGTGCCGGTACTGACACACCCGGAAGAGTCTACCAGGGGCAGGGGTGGGGCTGGAGAAATCTAGAGGTCAGGCCAAGGCTAATAGACTCTGGAGACAGGGGGAAGCTGCCATCTCAGCAGCTCTGGGATTAGGACTTGGAAAGGAAGGTTCTATAGCTTTTATTTCAACCCTTAGATAAGATCACAAACAGAACCACTCCTGGACAGAGTCTGACCTCTCCCTCCACTCCCAGGAGGAAGATGATGTTGCAAGGTCCTCTTGGCCCTTATTGGAACTTAGGTCAAAGAAGATTCTCAGTGCCTTTGCTCCTTTTCATGCGTCCCCCCTTTGCTTTTTCTCCTTCCTTTAAGGTATATTTGGTCACCAGGGGAATGAGTAAAATTTACAATATAATGGTACAATATAATCAGGGGTCATCAGCTTGAGAAATAGGACTTTAGAAGACAGAAGGTGAGAGCAAAGAATGTCAGAGCTGAATGAGATAGACCTTAAGACAAAGAAGGCTGCAGTTAAGAGGTCCTTAGAACAAAGAACATCAGAGCTGGATGAGGCCTTAGAACAGAGAATGTCAGAGCTGGGAAGGGCTTTAGAACAGGGCACATCAGAAGCTTTAAGAAAAAAGAATATCAAGGGCAGCTAGGTGGAGCAGTGGATTCAGAGCACTGGCCCTGGATTCAGGAAGACCTGAGTTCAAATCTGACGTCAGACACATAACACTTACTAGCTGTGTGACCCTGGGCAGGTCACTTAACTCCATTGCCTAACCCTCCCCCCCCAAAAAAAAAGAAAAAGAAAAGAGCATGTCAGAGGTGAGACAGAGCTCTAGAGATAATTTATGAACAACACCCTTATTGTACACATTAGGAAAGTGAGTTCTGGATCAAGAAAATATCTTCTCTGGTGTCAGAGTGAGCAAAACCTAGGCCAGCTCTTGGCCCTTCCCACGGTGACCCTGAGCCTCTTGTAGCTGGCTGGTCAGGGGACATATCGCCCTGCAGGGTAAAGGGTGCTGCAAGATCATTGAATTTAAAGCTAGAGGAGTGAGGAGATTTATCCCAGGGACGCTCTCCACACTATCCTCAAAAGAGTCATGGGGAAGCTAAGTGAGGCCGGCCAGCCCATCTGGCCCCTTTATGCCTCCTTTCCTCCTGGTCTCTAGAGATAGAAGCCACAAGGCACAGGTGGCTTGGGGTGGGGTTTCACTCAGAGATCAGCCCTGGAGAAACACTCCACCCCAATACCAGAGACACCCAAAGCCTACAGCTGTAGTTCTCCATTTGCAAAGTCAAGCAAGAAGGGCCATTTTCAGTTCTCATCTTGGGAGTTCCAGGGAAATTCCATTGTAAGACTCACACGGAGCCCATAGAGATGTGTGGGCAGGAATGGAGGGGTGTGTGTGTGTGTGTGTGTGTGTCTCTGTGTATGTGTGTGTGTGTGTGTGTGTGCATGGAACTCAGCCTGTGATCACCTTAGTCAGAGACCATCTCTAGATGGGGGTGAAAGAGCTACATCCTGTTTATCTTTGTAACCCCAACACCTGGCACATAGCACACTCATAGTAAACACTTTAGCATATGTTGACTGATTCTTTGTTTTTATATCAATAGCACCTAGCACAGTGTCCGACACATAGTAGGCATTTTACAAGTGATTGTTGATGGAACACTATTGCAATGAAGAGAATGGTTTCAAAGACACCTGGGAAGACTTTTAGGGTTGATAGAGATTAAAGCAAACAGGATTAGTAGACAATTTACACAATAACAACCACATCATAAAGGCAATCAGCTTCGAAAGACTCAGGAACTCTGATCACATAATGACCGGCCATGATTGCAAAGGGCCAAGGATGAAGGATGCTACCCATCTCCTGACTGAGAGACAATGGACGGGATGTGCAAAATGGGACATGGCTAATATGAGAATTTGTTTTGTCTGATTATCTACATTTATTATAAGGGGTTTTTCTTTTCCTTTTTCTTTTTCCATTGGGGAGGAGGGGAGGTGGTAAGGAGATAAATAAGTGCTTAATAATTTAAAAATACAAGAATAATAAAAAAAAACCTTTTTAAAAAGATTGCCACCCTCCCCCTAAATGATTGTTCATTCATATGATCAGAAAATATTACTATCTGAGCTAAAATTCAATGAGAATGGAGGACAGAAGCCATTTCTGTAGGCATGATACGCCTAGAGAGATAATTTACAGAATGGTTTGAAGGATATTGACAAACTGGAGCCTGTCCAGAGGATGACTGCCATGATGGAAAGGCTAGAAAGCATGTCATTCAAGGATCAATTGTAGCAAATGATGAGGACATTCAGAATGGAGAAGAATGAAAGGACATGCAACAGTCATAAGGGGGACAAGAGCCCACTTAGGGTGGTAGTAGGAGCACTGGGTGAGATTTGAACTCAAGTTTTCCTGACTCATGCCCAGCGTGGGGATAGAGATTAGAGAGAGCTTGGATGAGAAAGAAGCAGGTGTAGACTGGGCAATGAACTTTAAAGAGAAGATATAGAAAAGGAGGCTGAGATCAAAGGATAAGATTTGGACCTGATTCCCTACTCCCCTGATCAAAAATTTCCAGTGGCTCCCTTTAGTGGCAAGGATCAAAAACAAATCCCTCTGTCTGGCACTTAAAATCAGACTGTCTGATATGCCTTTAAATTGAGAATTTGGCTCTAATCTAGCTTTCCAAATCCTTTGCACATTTCTCGTCACGAACTCAATGATCCAGCTCGACTGGAATTGCTGTTCTTTAGTTCATCTACCTCCTCCATATCTTTGCACTAGCTGTTCTCAATGTCG